AAGTCTGGGCAGCTGAGGTTGAATTTGCTCACCCACTGAATGCCTGACTTGTGTCACTACATGTGAGGTTCCCAAGACCATCTGGGGTCCCCAAGACCATCTCGAAGTTGCTGTTGCTGCCTTTTGTTCCTTTTTTTTAAGAAAAAACAGAACGTTTGTGATCTGAGGTTTGTGTCACTCTGCGTTTAGCTCTGCTCTGGGCTACTTCTAGAGTTGTCTTTTGAGATTTCGCTTCTGTGTAAACACCTGGAGAGCTGTAACCTTGCCTTTTAAATACATGGTGGAGAAGGTTTTGTCCTCGCTGTGTAACCTCTGGGTGCCATCCTTACTTTCCTTTGTGCCACCTCATGTTTCAGGGTAGGTTCCTACAACCCCGCAGGCCTGCCTGCTTGATTCATCCCATCTGCAGAAATCATCAGGCTGCAGATGCTTGTGAGAGGCTGTTGGAACAAACCGAGGTGAAAGATGACTTGAGCTGCTTTTGGTGTTGAGTCAAAGCACAGGAAATCTGCCCTGAGGCCTTGAAGTCGAGGGTTAGGGCAGACTCCCCTGCCCCGGTCCTGCCTGGCACTCTCCTTCCTGAGCAGAAGAGATGAACACTTGAGGTTGTTTTGCAGTAGCTGCTGCCACGGGAGAGATCTCTGTGTGCTGCTTCCTAACCTGTTCCTCCTGCCTGCTCTGCCACCCAGGGATTGCACACTCTCCTTCCACAGAAGGTGCAAAGCCTCGAGGCTCTGTAATCGGCCAGGTCGCGTGGAGCACGTTGTGGCATGGATGCGATGAGAAGTCACTGGAAAAGATGCGTATCTCTCGTCACGGCGCTTTCCTAAACTCAAGGCTTTGTAAAGTCAAGGCCTCGAACGAAGCTTCGGCAACCTCGAGCGAAGCTGCAGCAACGTGAGGAAGCTCAAGTTTGCAGCGCTTGTATTTAGAGTGCTGCAGCCAAATTCTGTCAGCTACTCGGTATACTTCAAGGGTCATCCGTAGGCGTCAGAGAAGATCTCAAGACAATAATAGTGCTCTATTTTAGCATACTCATTACAAAGTATAACTGCCCTCTGCCTCTAGCAACTATTTTTTTCCTCGTACTCGAACGGTGCAGAAGTGGGAAGGCAGCAATATTGCCTCTCTGCCTGATTCCCCTCATTGTCTTTTCGCATGAGACCCTTTTTTTCTTTCTCCGTGGGCTCTTAGAAGGGAAACAACCTTCAGCAAAAAAGATGGTTTGCAGTGGCGTGCTTGTAATTACTGGCATATTCATCTTGAAGAAGAAGCAATCAAACTGCGAGGCTTTTTCTGCTGACGGGCAGCTGTGCGAGGAGATTGATTCATGAAAGGAGACGTAGTTTTGAAAGAAGCTGAAATGCTGTTTACGAATCGTGAGAGAATTCACATCGCACCATTTTTAGTGTGAAATAGGAGTGGGACAGGGGGTTCCTGATTTCTTTAGTTTCTTTATCTAGTGGACCCGTAACCTCTCTGGAGTGTGGGCGGTGTGATACATCAATAAAAAAGACAGGAGGATCTGGATAAAAGAGAAGAGGATCATTGCAATTCATTCCAGCGTCAGTGCAGGGGGATGATGCTTCTGAGTAGGTGGCCCTGAGAAGGGCTGTGCTCTGGGCAGGAGCTTCTCTAACTCCCATCCTCGCTCCAGCTTCGCAG